ATAGGTGAGGGGGGATATAAATGTATTTTATTTTATATGAAAAGTTCTTTTACTTTTCTACATATTTGCTACTTTCTTGGCATAAATTGTTTCTATAGCATACATGTTTCTACATATATATATATTTTGCTACATTTCGTTCTACACATACATATACATACATATGCTATATATATTATTATTATACATACATATACATACATATATATACATATATTATTATTATTATTAATATTATTATATACATATTATTATTATTACATACATACATATTATATTATATTATTGTACATATACATTTTCGTCTCTATATAATTTACGTTCTATTACATTATTACATACATCTACTATATAATTTACTGCTCTTACACATAATTTACATTGCCCCCATACACACACACACTGCCCCCCCATTACTGCTCTCACATACACTGCCCCCCACATAAAACACACTAGGCCCCACACACACAGTGCCATTGCCCCATACACATACAATGCCCCCATACACTGCCCACACATACACTGCCCCCACACACACACACTGCCCCATATACACACACACTGCCCCCATACACACTGCACACCCACACATACACACACCCCCACACACACATACACACTGCCCCTACAAAATATATACACACTGCTCCTACACACACACACACTGCCCCCACACACATAGCTCCCCCTATACACACATTGCCCCACACACATACACAGCCCCTATACACACACTGCCCCCACACACACACACTGCCCCATACATACATTGCCCCCCATACACAGATACACTGTCCCCACATACACACATACACTGTCCCCCCCATACACACACACCATACACATTCACACACTGCCCCCCATACACACATTGCCCCACACACATATACACAGCCCCCCATACACACATTGCCCCACACACCCTACACATTCACACACTACACCCCCCCCACACACACACACACTGCACCACTCACACACACCACTGCTGCTATACCCTACTAAAGCCCCATATCCCAGCAGACCCCAGGTAAGTTGTCAAACTGTTCTTAAACGGTTTCACTGCTTACTCTGGGAAGAGTTCCCGGCACTCCTGGCACCATAACCACTACATTGAGCTGGAGTGGTTATTGTGCATAGATTATTTCTTTAAATAATCTACAAGTGCCTCTCCCGAGATCAGGCTCTGGATCCACCACCGCCTGGCGTTGGATGTTTGTCCCATGCATTCTCGCATAGTTTTTACTGAGCATTAGCAAATCTTAGCAAATCTAATGGCTAGTGTAGGACTCACCTATTGAGGCTTGCCTTGACGTGGAAGGTGAGCTTATATTCAAATGGCCATTGAAATAAAAATAAAGAGCCTCCATTTTGTTTAAAGGTACATGGGGATTTAGGCCAGAGCGCAGGTAACGTTCTCTTTGTTTTTACTATGTATTTTGAGCTGTTGGATACTAAGCTACTGCTGCTGTAAGCGCGTTGCTTTATATTTGTGTTTGTATATGAATTTTGTATCACACAGCTATGTTACATTGCTGCCAGCCTCCCCACGTTTGTCTTAATAATGAGTTTATAAGTATGTAGGGGTAGCACCCCTTCCTGTCTCAATAGAAAAATTTGCCTTTTAGCTGATACCAGCAAGGTGATTTGTATGTGTTATAGCCCTATTAAGGGTTAATAAGTATGTAGAGGTTTATAAAACACCCCTTCATGTCTCATTAGAGATGTTTACACTTTGTCTGATACCAGCAAAGTTTATTGTATGTGTAGAAGCCCTATAAAGGGTCAAATGTGAAAGGGTTTATAAAATACCCCTTCCTGTCTTACTGGAGATTCTTGGCTGATATCAGCATATCTAATGGCTAGTGTATGACTCACCTATTGAGGCTTGCCTTGACTTGGCAGGTGAGCTTATATTCAAATGGCCATTGGAATAAAAATAAAGAGCCTACATTTTGTTTAAATGTACATAGAGATTTAGGCCAGAGCTCAGGTAACTTTCTCTTTTGTTTCTCTACTGTCCATAACTGCATCGGACAAACATCCTTAGCCAATTATTATATAGGATATATCAAGTAGACATGTACATTCGTACGAATTTTATGCCATTCGGACCTTCGAATGCTTACCAATTTCCAAAGCGCCGAAGTGACGACGTTCGTCAGTTCCGAAGTACCGAACCGAATGTCATTGGTCCGAATTGCCGAAGCAGACACATTTATATACTTACCCGAATTTCCGAAACGAACCAATTTTATTTGCCCATGCACATCCCTAATCCTCAGGTCTCGGCTGACTCCTCAGTCACCAGCAAAAACAAAAATGCAGGAGAATGCTGGACTGGACTCTAGTCATTCTTTTTATTCCACACCTTTTCTGAAAGTTCTGATGCTTAATTAATCAAAGACAAACAAAGTTAAAAACAAGTTTAAGCAGAATTTACAACTCCACCCAACATGTTTTGCGCTTGGTAAAACACCTAATCATAGGTATGCAAGTGCCAAACAGTGTTATTTACCAAAGAGAAAATTCAAAGTGCATTGAAAGTGAATTTCAAATTTAATAAATTTCATAAATTTGAAATTCCAGAGTACCCGAAATCAAAGCGTAGCTCACACTGAGAATTTTTCCAGTTCAGCTATTTTGACTTTAAATTTGAAATGAACTTTGAATTCCTGGCAATCCTCACAATTAACCCTGCCAAACTTAACACACCTTTTAGAATCACATTATCATCCCTTATCAAGAACTAGACACAAGTCAACCTTTGCTGCTCTAAAACCTCCCAAATAGAAAAACTCCTCCTGACCAACAGGTAAACAAGCAGGTAAACTCCATGGCTGCTCATGAGAATGGACAATGTAAATGTACACTCTATTCCCCCACAAGTAAACAAAAAAAATCACATAAATAAAAAATACATAATCTAGAAAAATATGTACAATACTGTATCATAACTAAAAGCACCATGACAGCTTCAGTGATTTGAAGTGATCATGGTGCGTGAAGTCTGTATGTGCAGCATTTTGCTTTGAAACGCTGCACATACAGAGATTAACAGTTTCAATGCTGGAGGTGTAACTCCACCTCTGGTGGCGTGATTAGCCACCTCCGAACTAAGCTCCAGGATGGATAATGTCAATTCCGTGCAAACTTGGCTTCTGCTGCCTGCACGCCCTGTCCTCTCTCAGTCCGTCCACCCTGACATCCATGACATCAGCCAAAGAGGATTGAGCTGAGGGTGCACTTGGTCCATACGAGGAAAAAGAGGTAAGTTTAAACCTTTTATTAAAACTTTTTTAGGCATTGGGAGTGTGGGAGTGCAGACCAGCACAGAAGTGGCTATTACAACCAAAAACTGTTTTTTTTAAAACATTTTTTATAAAAACAGAGTTTTTTGGTTGGAGTAACCATTTACAAACTGGTAGTTTTATAAGGTGTTTGGTATTGTTTTATATTGGTCTCTATCTATTATTTCCTCCTACTGTGATTTGTGAACACAATTTATTATAGCCCAAAAATAGAGCACACTGTTTGATATGATGAAGAAAGTCATAAAGTAATTCCTCGTTCACTCAGGAATGTAATCAATAGAATAATAATGATGTTGATACTTATTTTAACAAATTAGAAGGGATGTCAACACAGAAGACAAAGGAATGGTGGGACACAGTCTTTCTAGAAACATATATTAAAGATAACCCACACCTACGAGGTTAAGAATGCAAAAGAAGCCTGGTAATGGGATTGAACATGTAATCACCCCATGGTGGGATTCAACTTTGGAGTTATGCTTTTCATAAATACTGGTTTTGGTTGTACTAGCCCCTTCTGTGTTGGTTTGCCCCTCAAAATTCCAAAAACAAAGGCATTTTAAGAATAAAAAAAGAATCCTGGTCATGGGATTGAACATTTATTTTGTTTTGGATTTATCCTCCTGTAAAAGGATACTTCAACTTTTCATAAACACGTGTTTTGACTGTAGTAGTCCCTTCTGTGCTGCCTCTCCCTGGTTCAATTTTAGTCTCATCAGACAAGAGCACCTTCCTCCATAAATTTTGGGAGTCTCCCACATGCCTTTTCGCAAACTCAAAATGTGCCATTTTGTGTTTTTGCTGAAAGTAATGGCTTTCTTCAGGCCACTCTGCCATAAGGCCCAACTCTATGGAGCGTACGGCTTATTGTCATCCTATGTACAGATACTCCAGTCTCTGCTGTGGAACTCTGCAGCTTCTCCAGGGTTACCTTAGGTCACTGTGCTGCCTCTGTGCTGCCTGATTAATGCCCTCCTTGCCCGGTCCGTGAGTTTTGGCGAGCGGCCGTCTCTTGGCAGGTTTGGTGTTGTGCCATGTTCTTTCCACTTGGCTATGATAGATTTGATGGTGCTCCTGGGGATCATCAAATATTTTTCTTATAACCTAACCCTGACTTGTACTTCTCAAAAACATTGTCCCTTACTTGTTTGGAGAGTTCCTTGGTCTTCATGGTAGTGTTAGTGGTGCCTGTTGCTTAGGTGTTGCAGCCTCTGGGGCCTTTCAAAAAAAGTGTGTATATGTAATGACAGATCATGTGACACTTAGATTGCACACAGGTTGACATCATTTCACTAATTATGTGACTTCTGAAGGTAATTGGGTGCACCAGAGCTTTTTATGGGCTTCATAACAAAGGGGGTGAATACATCCGCACATGCCAATTTTCTGTTTTCTATTTCTAAAAAATAGTTTTATATATATATTTTTTTCTCATTTTACTTCACCAACTTAGACTATTGTGTTCTGATCCATCACATAAAATTCAGATTAATAAAACATTGAACTTAAGGCTGTAATGTAACAAAATAGGTAAAAAGTCAAGGGGGTGAATACCTTTGCAAGGCACTGTATCTGAGTGATATTTTGGCAAAGTGTGCACTCAGATCCAAGCTATTCGGTGATGTAACTTTTGTGGGGTTCTGAAATATTAACATGTATTGCTCTATCCGCCGCTCCTCCACCTTTGCTTTGTCGTCCTCTTGCAGCAGCTGTCATTGGTTTCGGTGATCTCAAAATAAAAGCTGGCCTTCAGGTCCTCAATGAGTTCCTGGCTGACAAAAGCTACATCGAGGGGTATGTATCCTCCCAGGCTGATATTGCAGTATTTGGGGCATTCTCTGGTGCTCCCCCTGTTGACCTCTTTCATGCCTTTAGATGGTATAACCATATCAAATCATATGAGAAGCAAGCATTCAGCCTTCCTGGAGTGAAGAAACCACTAGTGAAATATGGACCAGTGAACATTGAAGGCACAACAGACAGCACTGCTAAACGAACTAAAGAAGACGATGATGATGACATTGACTTGTTTGGCTCAGATGTAGTGATGTCGCGAACCCGAAATTTTCGGTTCGCGAGCGGCGAACGCGAACTTCCGCAAATGTTCGCGAACCGGCGAACCGCCCGAAACGCCATTGACTTCAATGGGGAGGCGAATTTTAAAACACACAGGGACTCTTTCTGGCCACAATAGGGATGGAAAAGTTGTTTCAAGGGGACTAACACCTGGACTGTGGCATGCCGGAGGGGGATCCATGGCAAAACTCCCATGGAAAATTACACAGTTGATACAGAGTCTGGTTTTAATCCATAAAGGGCAGAAATCACCTAACATTCCTAAATCACAATCAATATGGATTGACACCTGACATATGACATATTGACACCTTGACATATGGATTGACACCTGTCCTCAGAGCCCCTGATGCACACGGACACAGAGCAGAATAGAGACTGGTCCCCCTACATAGGGTCACTTGGCAGATATGGATTGACACCTGTCCTAAGGATCCCTGATACACACTGACACAGAGCAGAATAGGGACTGTTCCCCTACATCGGGTCACTTGGCAGATATGGATTGACACCTGTCCTAAGGTTCCCTGATACACACTGACACAGAGCAGAATAGGGACTGGTCCCCCTACATCGGGTCACTTGGCAGATATGGATTGACACCTTGTTACAAACTGCTATTTGTAACGGGCCCTTTAAATGGCAAATTGCCCTGCTTCCCTGGGTTGTGGAGAAGCCTATTTGCCAGCCTCCTCCCGCATGACTATGGCCCCTGGGAGATTGTGAAAATGTATGCACTTTTATTTGGTGTGTATGGCCCTTTAAGACTGTCGGTGGGCATATTGGGGCTTATGGACTCTTTATGTGACTGGTGCTGGCCCTTTAAACACCTTTTTTGGGACATCAGGAAGATTGGGACACTGCCCCTTTAAGGCCGTGTCCCCAGACTTGTTGGGGACACGGCCCCTTTAAGACGGTGTCCCTGTGTCCCCAGACCTGGTGCAAACCCTTTGTGCCTGCCTTGCTATTTCCCACTTGGTTCAGTAAATGGGAAATTATTTCAGCTGCAGAGACTAAGTCCCATTCGGCGATGGGACTTAGTCTTTTTTCAGCCGTTTTTTTCAGCCTTATTTCAGCTGCAGAGACTAAGTCCCATTCGGCGATGGGACTTAGTCTTTTTTTCAGCCGTTTTTTTCAGCCTTATTTCAGTTGCAGAGACTAAGTCCCATTCGGCGATGGGACTTAGTCTTTTTTTCAGCCGTTTTTTTCAGCCTTATTTCAGCTGCAGAGACTAAGTCCCATTCGGCGATGGGACTTGGTCTTTTTTTCAGCCGTTTTTTTCAGCCTTATTTCAGCTGCAGAGACTAAGTCCCATTCGGCGATGGGACTTAGTCTTTTTTTCAGCCTTATTTCAGCTGCAGAGACTAAGTCCCATTCGGCGATGGGACTTAGTCTTTTTTTCAGCCTGAAATAGACTGACCTCACAGCCCAAATCTATGGAACTGTTTTGGGCAGGAAAATGTGCTTGCGGTCGGTCATAAAGGGACCTCCAGCTAACTTTTAACCCCTGGATGGATTTGGCTGATTTTTGGTTATGTTTATGTTTTAAGTGTGCTGATTCCAAATATGTAATTATGAAGATGGGATGTGTAGTTTTAAAGTTACAGGGTATGGCTAAAACTGTATTTTTACTGCCTGTGTTTAATTATGTTAATCTCTTCCCAAACGTCATTTCGTTCAAAGTGGAGAGAATGTTAAAAAAATATATTTTTGTTCGAGTGTGAGAAATGCTTTTCAGCCGCTTCTAATCTTAAGCATCATTTGAGGAGCCATACAGGAGAGAAACCTTATTTGTGGTGTGTTTAGTATTGTTCTGATCAGTTTAATACCTTCCGCGTCTCCTATCAGTGGACGTGTATATGGCAGCCATTTTAGGAACCGTACACCTGGGACCCGAGCAAGGTCACCTCGTTCAACAGGCTACAACATTTGTCCCTGGAAAACTATCCTGGACATTCTGTACAATTTGTATGGATATGGCAGTGATTTCTGTAACAGGGAGATGGAAGAAGATGCTTGGTCGGTCCTCTTAATTCAAATTTGGGGCACTGCGCGGTCAAGCTAATGTGCCACCAGATAGGAGTGGTGTGTTTAGTATTTTTCTGATCAGTTTAATACCTTCCGCGTCTCCTATCAGTGGACGTGTATATGGCAGCCATTTTAGGAACCGTACACCTGGGACCCGAGCAAGGTCACCTCGTTCAACAGGCTTGCAGCATATCCTCCAGGAAGAAGAGCCTGAACCCTTACCGGCTGCACGTGTCTTACCTGTACATGGAAAGCTGCTGTGGTTCCTTGATGAGCCAGCTGCCCTGAGTTAACATGTCCCGTGGAGAAGCACTCTGTCCTGTAAAGCCTCACCAAAAAAAAAAAGGAGTGGTGTGTTTAGTATTGTTCTGATCAGTTTAATACCTTCCGCGTCTCCTATCAGTGGACGTGTACACGGCATTGATTTTTGTAACAGGGAGATGGAAGAAGAGGCTTGGTCGGTCCTCTTACTGCAAATTTGGGGCACTGCGCGGTCAAGCTAATGTGACACCAGATAGGAGTGGTGTGTTTAGTACTATTTTTATCAGTTTAATACCTTCCGCGTCTCCTATCAGTGGACGTGTACACGGCATTGATTTTTGTAACAGGGAGATGGAAGAAGAGGCTTGGTCGGTCCTCTTACTGCAAATTTGGGGCACTGCGCGGTCAAGCTAATGTGACACCAGATAGGAGTGGTGTGTTTAGTACTATTTTTATCAGTTTAATACCTTCCGCGTCTCCTATCAGTGGACGTGTACACGGCAGTAATTTATGTAACAGGCAGATGGAAGAAGATGCTTGGTTGGTCCTCCTAACTGGAGACTGTGTTGCTGTACGGGTGGCAGGTGGAGCCCTTTATAAAGTACACACTGCTTTATAAAGCCATTTATAAAGTACACACTGGCGGCTTGAACCCAAGTTGGTGGCGGATAAGTCACGCAAGTCAACAGGCATTCAGAGCTAAAATACAGCAGCGTGTGGACCATTTTTAGCCCAAGGCAGCTCATCTCATCAGGCCTTTTTTACATAGGGTCACTTGGCAGATATGGATTGACACCTGTCCTAGGGATCCCTGATACACACTGACACAGAGCAGAATAGGGACTGCTCCTCCTACATAGGGTCACATGGCAGATATGGATTGACACCTGTCCTCAGAGCCCCTGATACACACTGACACAGAGCAGAATAGGGAATGTTACCCCAACATCGGGTCACTTGGCAGATATGGATTGACACCTGTCATAAGGAGCCCTGATACACACTGACACAGAGCAGAATAGGGAATGTTACCCCAACATCGGGTCACTTGGCAGATATGGATTGACACCTGTCCTAAGGATCCCTGATACACACTGACACAGATCAGAATAGGGAATGTTACCCCAACATCGGGTCACTTGGCAGATATGGATTGACACCTGTCCTAAGGATCCCTGATACACACTGATACACACCTACTTGGATGGTATAGACATTTTAGCAGCTCCTGGCCCGAACACCTGACCCACATAGGAGCCGTAATAGACCGGATTAGGGAGTCCGGACTGACCCTAAAGCCCAGTAAGTGCCATATAGGAACGTGTAAAAACCTCCCCAAGATAGTAGTATGGGCCCCAGAATGTGAACAGGCCTTCCAACAGCTCAAGACGGCGCTCATTAAATCACCTGTACTTTCTTCTCCTGATCCAACTAAACACTTTCTCGTCCATACAGACGCTTCTATGCTTGGATTGGGAGCAGTATTGAGCCAAGTCGGAGCAGATGGTGGCTAGTAACCCGGGGCTTATCTAAGCCGTAAACTTTTGCACAGCGAAGTATATTCACTGCCATTGAAAAGGAGTGCATAGCGGTGGTGTGGGCCCTCAAAAAGCTGCAACCTACTTGTATGGACAACCGTTTACCTTACTCACAGATCACAAATTTGGGGCACTGCGCGTGCAATCTAATGTGCCACCAGTGAGTGAGTGGTGTGTTTAGTACTATTGTTATCAGTTTAATCACTGTTACGCCCCCTATCCGTTGATGTGGAGCAAGCCGCAGCAGCAGAAGAGGACTAAGCCGAGGAGGTTATGGAAGAGGATGGAGTAGGAGGAGTAGAGGAGGTGGCAGCGCAGTGGCAGAGTACACGCTGTAGGGCTGACACACCTGCTTGAAGATAACTAACTGCTATTCAATCTATGCAATGCGAAAAGTACCTGTTTTTAAATCCAAGCTATTGTGACACCAGTGAGTGAGTGGTGTGTGTTTAGTACTACGGTCAGTTTAATCACTGTTACGCCCCTATCCGCTGATGTGGAGCAAGCACGCAGCAGCAGAACAGGACTCAAAATGAGGAGGTTATGGAAGATGAGCGGGAACTGCTCAAGGTGAGAGACGGAGTGGCGGATGGTTGAGAGGGGGCAAGGAGGACAGCAGTGGTTGACATGGCTGAAGATGCTGGACAAGGAGGAGGATGGCGGCTTTGAGTTTGTGTGCTGCTTGTACACATGTGTTGATCCCATAGGCGTTTGTGATGTGCGATCATGTGCCTACACAAAGCAGTTGTACCTAGGTGGGTGTTGGACTTCCCACGACTCAGTTTCTTTTGGCACAGGTTGCAAATGGCATCGCTGTTGTCAGAGGCAGACATACAAAAAAAATTCCACACTGCTGAGCTCTGCAATGACGGCATTCTGGTGGTATGATATGAGTGGCACTGTAAATCAAGTGGTGAGTACACGCTGTAGGGCTGGAGCACACCCACTTTAAGGACACTGGACTGCTATTCAATCTATAACAGTGAAACATTTTTTGTTTTTAAATCCAAGCTATTGTGACACCAGTGGAGTGAGTGGTGTGTTAGTACTATTGTTATCAGTTTAATCACTGTTACGTCCCCTATCCGTTGATGTGGAGCAAGACGCAGCAGCAGAAGAGGACTCAGCCGAGGAGGTTATGGAAGAGGATGGAGTAGGAGGAGTAGAGGAGGTGGCAGCGTACTGGCAGAGTACACGCTGTAGGGCTGACACACCCGCTTTGAGACAACTAACTGCTATTCAATCTATAACTGATGTTTGTTTCACAGGCAGAAAGTGCCCTAAAAGATGGCGGCTTGAACCAAGTTGGTGGCGGATCAGTCACGCAAGTCAACAGGCATTCAGAGCTAAAATACAGCAGCGTGTGGACCATTTTTAGCCCAAGGCAGCTCATCTCATCAGGCCTTTTTTAATCTAATGTATCGCCCAGTGTCAGTCCCTTCGGGATCCATCCCTCATTCATCTTAATAAAGGTGAGGTAATCTAGACTTTTTTGACCTAGGCGACTTCTCTTCTCAGTGACAATACCTCCTGCTGCACTGAAGGTCCTTTCTGACAGGACACTTGAAGCGGGGCAGGCCAGAAGTTCTATCGCAAATTGGGATAGCTCAGGCCACAGGTCAAGCCTGCACACCCAGTAGTCAAGGGGTTCATCGCTCCTCAGAGTGTCGATATCTGCAGTTAAGGCGAGGTAGTCTGCTACCTGTCGGTCGAGTCGCTCTCTGAGGGTGGATCCCGAAGGGCTGTGGCGATGCGTAGGACTTAAAAAGGTCCGCATGTCCTCCATCAACAACACGCCTCTAAAGCGTCCTGTCCTTGCCGGCGTATCATGGGAGGAGGAGGATGACTTCCACCTCTCCCCTGTTAGATTCCCGTTGTGCTGTGACATCACCCTTATACGCTGTGTAAAGCATACTTTTCAATTTATTTTGCAAATGCTGCATCCTTTCATACTTGTTGTAATTCGGTAACATTTCCGCCACTTTCTGCTTATACCGGGGGTCTAGTAGCGTGGACACCCAGTACAGGTCGTTCTCCTTCAGCCTTTTTATACGAGGGTCCCTCAACAGGCACGACAGCATGAAAGACCCCATTTGCACAAGGTTGGATGCCGAGCTACTCATTTCCCGTTCCTCCTCCTCACTGATGTCAATGAAGGTATTTTCTTCCCCCAGCCACGTACAACACCACAGGTACCAGATAGGTGACAACGAGCACCCTGGGATGCCTGTTGTGGTTGGTCTTGCTCCTCCTCTTCCTCCTCCTCAAAGCCACATTCCTCCTCTGACTCCTCTTCCTCACAATCCTCTTCCAGCGTTGCCGCAGGTCCAGCAAGCGATGCTGATAAGGCTGTTTCTGGAGGTGATGGTGACCACAACTCTTCCTCTTCCTCTTCACGCTCATCTACGGCCTGATCCAGCACTCTTCGCAGGGCACGCTCCAGGAAGAAAACAAATGGTATGATGTCGCTGATGGTGCCTTCGTGCGCATCACACTAAATTTGTCACCTCAAAAGGACGCATGAGCCTACAGGCATTGCGATGAGCGCCCAGTAATCGGCAAAAATTCCTATAGCTCCCCCAGAGGCTAACCCCAGCACCTCGTCATACAAATATTCATTAACGGGCTTTTTCTTGTTGGAGCAGCGGGCCTAACATTAGGTGTTTGAATTCCAACGGTCGGGCTGTCGCAAATCGCTCTCACTGGCATGTTGTTTCGCCGCTGGATATCGGGCAAAGTGAGCCATGGCCGCAGTAGGAACGCCTGAAATGGGCTACACACCTTCCTGGCTCAGCCGCAAGGACGTCCTGTAGTTTCATGCACTATGCAATGTGCCGCTGTACCTATCAGGATACACACATGTGCCATGCATCGGCACATGTGACAGAATCTCCCTGGCCCAAACTTCAATGCCGCTTAACAAATTTGTCTGTCACAAACCACTTTAAGCCGATATCCAGTCAAGCAAGTGAGTCAGCCACTTTTCCACCTGTGCGTTCAGGGCGGACAGGAGTGCTTGTCTGGTGTGACTCTCTGCTTTCAAGCAAGTCAAACCCAAGACGGCGTGACAATGCCGTATCCGGGATGTGGAATAGTACTGGGGAGCTGGGGGTGTGCCGTTGATGTGGAGCAAGACGCAGCAGCAGAAGAGGACTCAGCCGAGGAGGTTATGGAAGAGGATGGAGTAGGAGGAGTAAAGGAGGTGGCAGCAGGACTGCCTGCAAGTCGTGGCGGTGTCACCAACTCCTCTGCAGAGCCATGCATTCCATGCTTGGCAGCAGTCAGCAGGTTTACCCAATGCGCAGTGTAGGTGATATACCTGCCCTGACCATGCTTTGCAGACCAGGTATCAGTGGTCAGATTGACCCTTGCCCCAACACTGTGTGCCAGAGATGCTATTACTTCCTTTTGCACAACTGAGTACAGGTTGGGGATTGCCTTTTGTGAAAAGAAATTTCGGCCGGGTACCTTCCACTGCGGTGTCCCAATAGCTACAAATTTTTTTGAACGCCTCAGACTCCACCAGCTTGTATGGTAAAAGCTGACGGGCTAATAGTTCGGACAAGCCAGCGGTCAGACGCTGGGCAAGGGGGTGACTTTCTGACATTGTCTTCTTACGCTCAAACATGTCCTTGACAGACACATGACTGTGAGAAGATGAGCGTGAACTGCTCAAGGCGGGAGGCGGAGTGGCGGATGGTTGAGAGGGGACAAGAAGGACAGCAGTGGTTGACGTGGCTGAAGATGCTGGACCAGGAGGAGGCTGTGATGTGAGATCATGTGCCTACGCAAAGCAGTTGTACCTAGGTGGGTGTTGGACTTCCCACGACTCAGTTTCTTTTGGCACAGGTTGCAAATGGCATCGCTGTTGTCAGAGGCAGACACACAAAAAAATTCCACACTGCTGAGCTCTGCAATGACGGCATTCTGGTGGTGGACACAGCATGCGTTGATTGGCGTGCTGTCGGGCTGACCCCGGGTGTCGATGCATGCTGTCTGACTGTGCCACTAGCTCCTTGCGACGACCTTCCCCTGCTTCCAACTCGTCTCCTCCTCCTCCCTGTCTCCCCATCTGAACTTTCGCCCTGTTCTTCTTGACGAGCGGGCACCCACGTGACATCCATGGACGCATCGTCATCATCAACCGCTTCACTTGTATCTGACAACTCAGCAAAGGAAGCAGCAGCTGGTACAACATCATCATCATCATCATCATCACACCGTACGTCCATGTGTGTAATGCTGCCTGCCTGAGACATATCCCTGTTATCTACATCCT